CAATCCAAACTACAGCACAAGTCTTAAAATAGTCTACATTGGCATACCTAATTACAAGTATTGACAGCTATTTAGAATGCATGACATTGACAAGTATATGCGTAACACCTTCAAGTTACACTTCAGACAACTATGTTACAGGGATTGTAACGCGTGGTTATCCCCCAACATGGCTGACCCCGGTTTTTTAATTTATGCCGACGTCACGTGCAAACAAAGAATACATATTCCAAAACAACTGACAATCTGAAAAAACCGGGGAAAAAATAACTGGCAGGAAAAATTTTTCTTTATTTACAGCCATGTAATAATCATGACCGAAAAGGGACAATCTATGGAAAAGATAGCCGTCACACAAAACTGAAAAATAAAACATTACCTAAACGGCAAGAAAGTGCACCACTGTGAGGTGTCAAAACTTTCAGATAACAAGAAAGTTAAAATTTTATGATCATTAATTGACGAATAATGATAATAATGATGATAATAAATATAATAATGATAAAAATGATAAGAAGAACAATGAACAAGAACGATTTCACAATGATATAACTAATGATGAAAAACAATAATGATAATGCCAACAGACTGTCAAAAAATATCCATAAAATTTCCCGACCCCGCACCCCCCATTACTCGTTTCGACTCTGTAGCGTGACCATGTCGCGTGACCAATATCATGAAACTAACATTCTTGGCCAAATAAGAAAAAAAGGCGGTTTCCTTTGCTGGGATAAAAAAAAAAAACCATCCTAATTCATGTTTATATTTATTTTTCATCTTACCCTTTTTTCCGCAATACACGCTTAAGACCAAAGCAATAATTGATATTCACATCCTCTTGGGTTACACTTTCGTTTCTCTGAGTTAGCAGCTTCTGGGAGCTTCGGGAACTTAATTACCACTAATTCGAAACCGGAAGTATTGTCGGTGAAATACAAAAGAAGGCCGAGTAACGTTGCTGTTTAAAACTGTAGTCGGTTAAATCACATCTTCGATATCGTTGAATGATGGAGCTACTTGACGAACTGGTGTTACGACATATTGCAACTTTCCTAGATCCGAAAGACATCGTTTGTTTACGCAGGACATGCAGAAGGATGCATACCATGCTCCCTGAAGTTGTTGTGGCCGAGGATCGGTGGATAGGAGAGGATTTTATCATCTTCGGTCCAAGAGGTGGTCACTGGGCTCCTGAACATTATTTTGACGGACCAGTACTCCCAGGCAACGTGATCAAATTAGAATCGTCTGTGCTATGGGAAGATCAAGGTTTTGGAAACAGAAAAGGGGAGTTGTTCGTCCATTTGATGCGACCAAGTCGTGCGGGAGAATCGCTTCAGATTGCAGAACACCGACAGTTGTTTGGTATCGCAGAGCACTACGAAATGAAGGCACAAAAAGTGCTCGGTAGAGAAGATCCCATAGTTGCTAAGTCAAGAAAAGGAGATTTCTACAGGTTTATGAGAAATGCAGGCGGAGGTGGAGGCCATCAGTTAAAGGTAAAGAACTTCAGAGTCAAGGCTACACTTTGCGAAGTCAAGCACTAAATCATCGAGTTTCAATAAGAAAACTGGTAGGCCTTTTGCGACAAAGCCTTCCTTACAAATCATGAAGCAACACAGTTTCTGATTACAGTAATTTTTATCATTATGATAATCTGAGTATAATTTCATTCCAATCAATCGATTAATTAAAATTAATTTCATTGCATGATCCATCTATTTGACAATTATAACTTCCTTGATCTGATTTACAGTGTAAATTCCTGGCAATTTTTCCAATGCATTGCATAAAATCAGATTACTGGGCCCAGTTGTTTGGGCAGAGGTCAATGCTCATCGAAAATGAAATTCTAAACTTGCATGGTTTGGATGTTCACAAGTGAGGCATTTATTGGACATATTATTTTAGAGCTTAAACTTTTCTTTATATTGATTATATTCTTAAACTGCAGGCAAAATTGACAGAGAAAAAAATATGGTAGATGGAGTTGTGACAAGGGAAAGCAAGAACAAAACAAAAAATTTATACTACTTATCACTTTGAGTTATATTTAGCTGAATCATGCTTTAAACAGCCTAATTAACCCTGACTTTTTGTGGAGAGAAAAATGAAAGAAATTATGGAAAATCTAGAGTCTAGGGTGTTTACATTGGACTAGCTTGTAATTGTTACAAAGATTGCCAGTGCATGCAGTAACATGTGGGTGTACAGTAGTTCAGTAATAAACACTCTTTGTCAGCAGAAATGTTTGCACTGCCATATTATATCTGTTGAAAACAAACTCTTTTAAACTACTGAAACCTGTTTATTGTGAAACTCAGAAAGCTGTGAATGCTTGACTTGATTCTGAAAGGTCAATTGTGTACTGACTATAAGCAAAATAAATAAATTTCAAGACATGTGAGAAACACACAAAACTACAAATCTACTATCACACCATTGCAGTTTGGTTTCCTGATATCATTATGGCATTTCTCTTTATACAAAGCAACATTCCATATGTATTTCTTGTGTTCACTGTTTTCTGAGTTTGATGGTAATTTCTCTTATCTTATTTATTAAGTTAAATGTTATTCTGCATAGTGCCATATCATTTTATGCAGGTGTTGGTAATTAGAGGTTCAATACTTGACTGCTTAACAATTAACTGTCTAACTGAATATTTATTTACACTTTGGACTCTTGAGTACTGTAGGAAAATTGAGAATAGTCACAAATTTACTGATTTATATGGTATTTAATGTGTAGCATAATATCAATATGTATACAAACTTAAACAAACTGAAATATATCAACAATAGAAGTTATTCAATTCTGAAGCCCATAATACAATATGAAGCAATCAATTTTTATCTTTAATTTTTTCACGTATACAAACAGTGTAAAAGCTGCAAAAGAGGTTGACAGCTCATGCCAAGTTTCTTTTGTCACCTTATTAGTATTTCCAAGTTCCTCTCTTCTAATATAAATTGAAAAGTATATCTATAGACATTCCAAAGTCAACAACTTCAACTACCCCCTCTCCAACCTATTGGTACCAGATCATGAGAATCGCCCTTCCCATACCTTTAGCCCTTACTGTGATAAATTATCTAACAAAGCTTAATTTGTTTAGCAGAGACTACAAGTAGCTAGTCTTGGCTCTGTTTTATGACAAAGTCCTTCACACAAGTAAAAAGGAAATTAAAAAATCAGAAACTATAATAGTTTCCTTTATATCATTAATAAGGAAAGCCATTATCTTGCACAATTGTCTTGAACACCTCAGCTGAAAGCTTTGGGGTCCGTGGCCGCTTGGGATCATTAAAGTCCACATGATGAATGCCAAATCTAAACCGATAGCCATCATCCCATTCAAAGTTATCCAAAAGCGACCAAACAAAGTATCCCTTCAGTTTGACACCATCCAGTTTCATGGCTTTTAAAGCTTCATTAATATATCCTCTCAGATATGTGACACGGTCTCTGTCTTGGAGAGCAGCAGGTAATTCTAGGTCGTGTTCACCATAAGCACTGAAACCATTTTCAGTAACAACAATTTCAGGATTGTTGTATTGTTCTTTCAACCACACTAGCATTTTGCGCATACCCCAGGGAACACAATATAACCAAGAGGGGTCCCCTGAAAAATGCAATTGACAAAAAAAAATAAATATCACCTCTTAAAATGTTATTTGGTACTTCACTTGTTACTACAAACAATAGAGGACTTTAGTTCATTTTTCATATTGCTCTAAAGCAAGGTTTCATATCTTATAAATAAACTACAATTTCGTACAACTGGGTTTTATCAAACTGGAAATCCATATGAAGAGAATCTTGCGGTGACAAAAAAATAAAATAGTTTATGTAGAAAACAGTGAACACCACAAATACTGGTATTGCTGCAATGTATTAGTATCAACTGAGGAGATCAATTGCTGAAATGTGCTGTTATCAAAGAAAATAAGCCAATCAGGCACAACAAATTGTAAGATACAATTGTAAGATACACCTATATTCTAACCTTTTAGCCATGTTGGATCCCGTGATGTCTTCATTTCCTGGTCAGTAAAGTAGCCCCACGTGACATTTTTCTCTTGGGACAAGTCATGATGTTCTGCAAATGACACTGAATAGAAATTAAGAGCTAGGAAGTCAGCAGTTCCCTTAAGCAACCTCTTTTGTTCTGAGGTGAAGGATGGAAGCCTGCAATAAAAGCAAAAACCTGTAAACAGATGGTGGTTTGCCTGGGGGTAGCTGAAATTAAGTAGGGGGTGTCAGTGGAAATAACATAGTCATTGGAAATGAAGTAGTAGTTTTAGTCATGATATCTCACTTAAATGTGGTGTTAACAAACCTGGAAGGCAATCCTTGAGCTTTACTTTTCTCCAGAATGCGTGCCTTCATGATCTCTGGATAGTCACCATTAATGAACACGGGGTGGGCCATCCAACCCAGGAACCACTGCATGCCACGGTCAGCTGCATTGATATCTTCTTCCTTGTCAGTCTTGGGTTCAAACCACTGTGCATTTACCACAATGCTCACCTTCCCTTTCTGGTTTTGTCTAAATTCTTTGTCATAAGTGTGCCATGCTTTTGCATGGGCAAGCAACATGTTGTGGCCAGCTGCATCAAAATGAGCAAGAAAAACTGGTTCGCTTTAATTTGAGAAAATACATTTAAAAACGTCTCCCTAGCCTTGAATGGCGTTAAACCTGTGGTCTTACCTTTCATATCAGAAAAACATTTTACCTTGACTCAGATCCTGTCCATCAAGATGAATCATGTTTTGCACTACAGAGAAATTTTTGTTTTTTTTTTTTTTCTAGATAGGTATGTACCAAGATAGTACCAAACAACAGTCAGCTCATGAGAAAAGTAAAAATAACAAATATTTGTAACTGCACCTTTTCATGTTCATTCCTTCAAAGGTAGCCTTGCACAATATGCAGACCCTAACCACTAAAAATAAGCCTCAATTTTATTCCTCAACCAGTACCTAACCTTTGTGGTCACTTACCCTGGTAAGGTCCACTGGCCATGTCCTTAATCCCAGGGGCAAAAGCACCAAGACCATAAGCGTCTAGTGCCTCCTCGTGAGGTTCATTAATTGTAAGCCACATTTCAACTCTGTCTCCAAACTCTTTGAAACAAAATCGGGCATAATCATTAAAGATATTAGATATTTCAGGATTGCGCCAGCCACCAATATCTTGCAATGCTTGCGGCAGGTCAAAATGGTAGAGGGTCACGGCGGGCTTAATCCCGTTGGCTAACAGATTGTCAATCAATCTGTTGTAATACTTAATCCCAAGGGGATTCACTTTGTCTGCTGTTCCCTGGGGCAACACTCGGGACCATGACACGGAAAATCGGTAGTAACCAACACCGAGGTTCTTTAAAAGTGATACATCCTCTTCGATTTTGTGATAGCTGTCGCATGCGACATCCCCAGTGTCATTGTTATGGATTTTACCCCCAATGTGACTGAAAGTATCCCAAATGCTAGGGCCTTTTCCATCTTCGTTCCAAGCACCTTCGATCTGATAGGCTGCGGTCGCTGCTCCCCAAATAAAATCCTCAGGAAATTCCCCACGAATAAAGCCTTTCTCTGCTCCGGGGGTAGCTTTCGGAGACTAGGTGAATATAACATAATTATTTCACTGATGCATTGCAAAACTTGGTAATGTCTTTGTTCGTTCATTTAAAATTCAATTGTCCTGTCCTCACACGAAAGGGACTTGCTATTCGATCGGGAGGAAACTAGGTCAAACTTACCGACATAGCGGCCTCAGGTTCAAGAAATACCAAGATCAGCTGAAATAAAAATGTAAATTTGATAAACGTGATTAAAATCATTCGAAAGTTTCCGCTTTAAGGGGAAAAGAGAATTAGTTAACAAGAAAATCAACTGGTAAATTAAGCCAGCTTGCACTGTAGTTTCCCTTCATACTTACAAAAGACTGTGTTAAAATTGATTAATAATTGAATAAGAATTATCTTAAATTTCTGTTCTCGTAACGAGCAGGAGAATGGGAGCTAATAACCATTGTTTTGTATCGTCTTACAGTAACATTTATTTAACAAGACACTCGCGCTGACAAAAGATGGAGCTCGATTTGCTTTCAAAACGATAGGAAGCTTAACAGACGTATGTATGCCTATCTGAAAAGAACTTGCCGACACCAAAATTAGGAAAACTTCTTTAGCTTAGTGGTTTTCGGGAGAGCCTATTAATTAAATGTGCTCCTGGTTTCGTCACAATGAGGCGCGACAATTCATTCTCGCCCGTGTGTAAAATTCACACAGAAAGGGAGGGATACCGTTCAAACTGTTTTAAAACAGTAGTTTATGATTTTCATAAAAATTCATTCATAAAGGATTCTTCTGAAATGCACAACTAATTCTCGCGTGATTAACCGTTAAGTGCAAGGCCGCCAAGGCAACGTCACGCGATATGGTAATATTATCACTCGTCCTGATGAGCCTAAACTGTCATGGCTGAAGGTCGGGATGAGTTTTTCAATGGATCATTTCCCGATGATTTCATGTGGGGCACGTCAACTTCTGCGTATCAAGTCGAAGGCGGCTGGAACGCCGATGGAAAGGGCTTAAGCAGTTGGGATAAATTCACTCAAGCTGGGGGTAACACGTACATGAATCAAACAGGCGACATAGCTTGTGATTCTTACCACAAGACCGACGAGGATATCAAGCTTTTGAAAAACCTCGGAGTGGGATATTACAGGTTTTCAATCTCCTGGTCTAGAGTTTTGCCAAAGGGCACGACTGACGAAGTGAATCATGCAGGAGTGAAATACTACAACGACTTGATAAACTCGCTGCTAGAAAATGGCATCACGCCGATGGTGGCTATGTACCATTTCGATCTTCCCCAAGCACTACAAGACGAGTACGATGGCTGGTTGAACCCAAAGATGGCCGACGTTTTCAACGACTACGCCAAGTTTTGTTATGACACGTTTGGCGATCGCGTGAAGTGGTGGATCACAATAAATGAGCCATGGGAACCCGCTCTTCTTGGTCACGGATTCGGTTTAACACCTCCAGGGAAGAAAGACCTTCGCTCATCGGTATACAAAGGTAATTGAACTGTTATATTTCCTACTTATGTTTGAAGAATTCCTTATCAAACATTTGTTTTCTTTGAAGAGGTTTTTTTGTGAATGAATACAAATACAAATATTTGTTAATTAAATCAAAGACCGACACTGGCTTTACAAATTTTATTTTTAGTCTTTCCTTTCAGCTTAGCAATGTAAATGAAAGGATAGTGAGGGGAGAGCCACAGCTTCGCAGTTTTTTCTCTTTTCTTTTGAATATTTTATTCCTCATTACCGTGACAATGTCATATTGTAGTCACGCAATAGTGCCACATCTGTTGTCAGCATGTTTATTCAAAATATCGTTCTTACGTTGCTTTCTCGGACTCTTCATATGGCCTTCAAAGTGCAATTTTTTTTTCTCATGTACTATACGTATTTAAAGTGTGCTTTTTTTCTCAAGCAAAGTGAAGCAAAACATTTTCACCCACACCAGCTTTTTCATTTGTCCTCAACTGTCCATTTTACTGCGTTTCCATGTCTCTCCATGCTGATCAAAGTCTCCCTCTACCTCCATTAGTTGCCTACATAATGCTTCTTGCTCACGCCAAGGCATGGCATACATACGATCAACAGTTCCGTACCTCACAGCAAGGTAAAGTATCCCTAATTCTCAATGTGCAATGGGGAGAGCCTAAGAGTAACACGCAAGCCGACAAGGATGCCGCTGAACGTAGTCTGGAGTGGTGGCTCGGTTGGTTTGCTCATCCAGTTTTCGTCAACGGGGACTGGCCCGACATTATGAAAAAGACGGTTAAAGAGAAAAGTGACGCTAAAGGAATTCCGAACAGGTAGGACAGTTAATTGCGATATTAAGTCCAGTATGCAAGTATCCTGCAATCGTGGGTTCTTTTCTTTTTTTTTTTTTTTTTGCGGGGGAGCGACATAACGCAGCAGCACAAGAAAGAGCGGTAAAAAAAACAAAACAAAAACAAAGGCCGCTGACTCTTGCGCTTTTTTGCTAGCGCGTTTTCCCGGAAAAAAGGAACATTTGAGCAAAGGTTCGTATGCAAGATGGCGAGAGCGTAGTTGATTGAGGGAATGAGGACCTTTTGAACGTATGACTCTTCTCCGTTGTACGGCAAAAATGATGAGTAATGAAAATGGAACAAGCTAACATGCGTCAAAGTGACGGAAATGTCTCAGAAAAGCACGGTACTCCTGGCACAGCTACACCCCAGCCAGGCCTTCTGTCACTATTAAGTGAATTAAATAAAACCCATCTTACAATAGATAGATAAACTGAAAGGTCTAATCAAATGAAACTTAGCAACTCTGCAGCTTGGAAACATTGAATATTATTAAACTCTTCAAATTGATTTTATACTGAGTCAAATAGTGAAACTGCCCAATCGACGAACGAACTGATGTCAATCTAGAATTTTCAATTATTTTTGCACTGAAACACAAACAAATGACTATTTTTTGACTCAGTCATGTGCCCAGATCAGTTTTCATTTCCCATGCCTGATCATGTGCCTTTTTCTTTTCCCTCAGACTTCCTGAGTTCACTGAGCCAGAGAAACAACTCATTAAAGGAACAGCGGATTTCTTCGCTCTGAACATGTACAGTGCATTCCTTATTGAGCATCAAGCATTCCCATCCGGCGTGGACTGGAACTACATGACCGATCAAGAAATGAAGACGTCTTCTCATCCTTCGTGGCAGCGAGGTGAGTCGATTTCTTTCATAGTCCCTACCATATTTATCATTAATCAGGGTCCAGTAGGTAATAGGCTCCTAGGACCTGTCATCATTTACAGTCTGGGAGTAAGGAGGGGACCGGTGGCGGGGGGGGGGTAAGATGATTTTGGATTTGTCACGATAAAAATAAGACCTGATCCCCTCATAAGGCTCTGTAATATTCTTACGATCCTTCCTCTCCCCTCATCCAACCTCATTCCCAGGGCCTTTTCCCGTCCAACCCCGAAGGGAAAAGGCCTTGGGAACGAGGTTGCCCCTCATCAACTGTTGTTGGCACTCAATTTTCTTTAGTCCCCCTTTGTTATCTGTTGGCAACGACTGATTTCCCCTTCGTTCCCTCCCAAAATAAACCGTGTGCTTCCCCCCAAATCATCAGCACCCCCTCCCCCCATCCCTTAGCATTAAGGTAGACCTTCATACAAATCTCCCAGCCATTTCTTCCTTTACCAGGTGCCAATGTGTGGTTGTTCAATACTCCCTGGGCCTTGCGTAAGCTTCTCAACTGGGTGAAAACGCATTACAATGACCCTGAAATCATCATAACAGAGAATGGTTTCGCCATCGATGGTGAAGCTGAACTTACCGGTGAAGAAGCCTTAAACGACAAGATACGAGTCAATTACTTGACGTCTTATGTGAACGAAGCCTTAAAGGCGATCCGCCTGGACGGGGTACGATTGAAAGGTTATTTCTACTGGTCTCTTATGGATAACTTTGAATGGATGGAAGGATATCGTGTTCGTTTTGGTATACATCGGGTCGATTTCAATGATCCTAGTCGAACCCGCACCCCCAAAAAGTCTGCAGAGGTGTATAAAGAAATCATTCGCAATAATGGTTTCCCAAGAAAAAAGGATGAAAAGTCCGGGCTTTGATATCTAACGAAAATAAACTAAGCCTGAATCCAGGGAGAAGTCGTGACTGTGACTGTCATGCCAAGGAAACGCGTAAAAGGTTCTGAAAAGTATATTTTTTTCGATATCTGAAGGCCGGGGGTAACTTAGTCTCCCTCGCAGCCGTTTTTAGTCTCGTCACGCAACGCTGTTTGTGGGGAGGAGCGTTGCGTGACGAGACTAAAAACGGCTGCGAGGGAGACTAGGGGTAACTGACCTGGAATGTTTCTTAGTAGAGGAAGAGATTGTGTTCGAAATTTGTTTTGATATCAAACTTTTTAACTTTAAGATAGTCATTGTAACTGACTGCCGGCCAAAACTCAATCTAGATGGTCAACCTTAACTATGTGTATTAAAGGAAGCAAGGCCTTTTCATGTTACTGCTGTGTTTTCTTTAATCATTAACCCATCTGAGAACAGGAAAAGCTCCCCTACCACCATATATGTATTAAAGGAGGCAAGGCCTTTTTATGTTATTGTTTTTTTTTCTTTAATCATTAACCCATCTGAGAAGAGAAGAAGCCCTCCCCCCCCCTCCCCCCACCATCACCACAAATTTAGAACATTTATTAACCAGACTATTCAGTTTTGTGGAGAGAATTTTTATGTAAATGATTTAATCACAAATGTTCGGCCAGATTAGATCAGTACTACGCATTAAATAAGTTTCCCCGCGCTGGCACCAGGTGCACTTTCCTATCATCTGCCCGCCCTTAGCACCGGCTGCAAACGGCTACATATTTTCCCGCCACTAACAATGGTGCCATGTTTTGTCTTTTATCAGCATTAATGGTGCATTTATTCTGTTTTTATCTTGAAATATTCCCTCAAAGAAACAACTAAAAGAGTTGGAAAGCGAGAGCAAAGTACAGCGAAAGAAAAATAAATGCGTGATCGCGTGACAGTTTTAGTCACTCAACACAACGCGCGTGAAGACTGGGCTCGGGATACACAACAAATTTTGCAAAATGACGGAGTCGAAAACACCGGAACCTTGTGGATCTCTCCGAAGTTTATGCATAAAAATTGTGCTCCATTATCCGAAATTGACTGAAAAAGGATTCAGATTGCTTCCCTTTGAGGTCATTCAAGCTATTCTTCTTGCTTCTGTTCACAATCGAAGTATATGTCTGATACAGCAGGTCTTGAAATTTTGGCCTTCGCCTGTAGCTGTTTTAAGCGGAGTTCCAAGGGCCCCATGCAACGAGGAATTTGTAGCAAGGGCAGTTGTTGAGTACATTTCTAAAAGGGGTGAAGCTGATAAAGTCCAAGTTATTGACATAAGGCAAAGAAACATTGGTGAGTTGTACTGTGAAAGTTTTATGCACCAGTCATTGTAAAACCCAAGCTCTGCCCGGGACATTGGACAAGCGCTCAGTGCTGTAAGGCCAACTCTTTCGTCTAATTGAAGCTTAAGGGTCTCTGCTCAAATCCAAATCCCCCAGTCCTAAAAAAAAAAGGTGGTAGACAGAGGCAAATATAAATTCTTTAACTTTATCATATGGATCATTTAAGCTGATTATGTCAATCAATATAATCCAAACGTTCTTACATTCTAATGTTCAAAGCAGCCATCTTTTCACTTTTCAATTCCAGTACCAGTGCTCTAGTCCGTTTCCCTGCTGATCCTCGATGGCTTTCAAAAGCCATCAAATTCCCCAATATGCAATGCTCTTTTGCCTGCCAAATGGCGGAAAACTCTCTGCAAATGCCCTGCTATGTTCCAGCCCCAGAGGTGTGGGGGTTTACATTGACTTGAGTGCTCCATCAGCTTTGTTAACGGATCTTTTACATTTTACTCATAGAGTTTTTGAATTAATTGCTGCTCTTTCTACCTACGTTTTCACATATTTATTCATTATTTATCTGGTTATTTATTCTTCACTTAATTGATTATAAATTACCTAATTGCAGACCCAAGAAATCTGAATTTATTTAATAGTACTTTTCAAACCCCTATTACTTCCCCCAGGTATGCAATATTGCAGCACTGTGAGTTCATAAACCCTATGAAATTTGAGAAACTGAAAACTGAGAGAAAAATCTTAACCAGAAGTTAGTGGTCACTTGAAAAACACAGCATGATGCTGAAAATTATGCTAAAATTTATCTACCCCCCAACCCCCCTCCCCCCCTGGCTCTCATTCCTACCAACAACGGGTAAAAATTTCTAGGAATAGATGGTGTACTGAAGTTCAAAACACAACACTTTACCAGGTCAATTTCCTGAAGTGGAAGAAAGAAAAGCAAGCTAACTGTTGATGGTGCTCTGTAAGGCTACAGAATTTATCTCCTGTTGAACTGTAACATCAAGGAAATTTTAAAGAAGCCTTTGAACATTATTCTGGCATTGTGCTCAAAATTATATGCCATCTTATGCCTGCTTGATAAATGTCTATAAGCTTGCATAGCTGGCAGAATTCTTACAATCTACTTGATCGCAAGTAGGAGGTTTTTCTAGTGGGATTATTTGGAATTCGGGGCTAAAACTGTGAGCCATAACATATTTATTGTGTCTTGTTTAAGGTTTTAGGTTGGATTGAGATGTATACTTAGGTAAAGAGTATTGCTGATCCATTTTCTGTTATATAATTTACAATATCACTGTGTTTGTCTGGGCATCAAGCCTAAAATATTTTTTGGACCTCCAATAGCTTTGCAATAATTGAGCAGTAATTTTACTTTCTGTATTTGATCAACCAGTGGTGTGGTCAACACTTACAAGAAGCCGTGTCATTCTGTGCAAAGGTTCACTTCCTTTTCTCTTTTTTTCTCTTACAACCAATATTTCATCCTCTTTTAGGAAGTCTATGTGATATCTCAGTCATGAACCCCCAAAATCAGCACACATGTCATTAAGAGTTAACTTACTCTAAATGTAGTTTGCAAGCAACTGAAAGAGGCAAACAGTGTATGCCAACCCATCAAGATTTCCCTCAAGTCTCCAGAATACAGAAAAAAACTCCCTCCATAAGTAGTGCCTCACAACAAGCTATGTCTCCTGTACAAATACAAACTTGGGCAAATCAAGTTAATTTATCTGAAGTCATTAAAAAACTTAATGCAGTTCTACTTCAGCGATAGTTGTATCTTTTAATCTATTGTTTTATGTTAAAAAGAAAAAACCATCATTATCTGGAGAATGATACACTGCAAACTCCAGGAGAATGTCATAAAAATTGTCGGCAATGACTCATGAAAATAAAGTCATTGCAGAGCAATGATGTGAAAATCTTAACTGGAAACAGCAATGATCACAAACTGTATGTTTACCCTTTACACCTTAACATCCATATGCATATTCTCCATACTGTTCTTGATAGATTTTCATAGTTGTCAACAAAGGAAATTTGTTTAACAATCAATAGCTTCCTGTTGTTGTTGATCATTTCCTTTATGCTCGTGACTCCTAAATGTTTGATTCAGGGGTGATATTGTAAGGAGAAATTAGATGCTAGCCACTGGGAATGACTTCTTCAAAGGATTTTTGAAGTTTGAAGAAAAGCTATTTTTTAGGCACACAATTTGCGTGAATTAGCAAAAGAGCCAGGCCAGTGAGTATGGGACTGTTGAAGTGTTGCATTGTAATTAAAATCTTATTTCCAGAATGAAAATAATGCAAACTTATATTCTTCAGTTAAAATACAAACTGGTAAAGTGACCTTTGGGAAAGATCATATTGTGCTGGTAACACAGCAAAGTTCTGACAAAGAGAATGCAAAATACATGCTGCATTTCTTAAATTTGCATTGGTCAAAAACATCTACATAAATTAATCTGCACCACTGAGTCAACTGAAATTTTCTGCAGTGAGTTCATCATGTACATATGTTAAAACTCACACTAATGAATTCACAATTGTCAGGGATGCTGAATACAATGACAATTAATGCAATGCAACTTGATATGCAAGTTCCCAAAGAAAATTAACCAGCAAATCAAGGGAATTTTTAAGTTGCATCATGTTGATTGAAATGGTTTAATTTTCAGGATTCCTTGGTAGTACCGCTCTCTGCACGGCAGTCATTGCAGCAAATAGAGACAGCAAAGTGACAGAAGTTGCCAGTGGAACCTCCTTTAATGTGGCTACCCATGTCATGTCAGTTCTTACCGTATATGCAGACATTTGTGTTAATTACAGTAATCCCGACACGGTATTGAGAGCATTAGAAACAAAGACTGGTTTTGTTCAACTCTGTATCTTTTCCTTTAGTGCAGTAGAACTTGGAGATAACAGACTTTCCGGTCTCTTAGGAGTTCTAAATCCAGACCACTTGGTAGTGCTGGATTTGTCTTATAATGGGTTGGCTTATTATGACAACGTCAGCATCGATTTGTCAACGATTTTCCAAGAGATGACAAAGTTTACAAAGTTGCGCGCACTTTCCCTGTCTTACAATTCCTTGGCGGAAAGCCATATGATGAATCTTTGTAAGGTTTTAGAGAAACTTCCATGCCTCGTATCTTTGGATCTCAATGGTAATTTTGTGGGTGGTAGCATTGGGTGTCTTTTGAACAGCATTAATCAGCCACTGAAGTGCTTACGGTTAAGAAACGGCAGAGTATGCGATAGCGGAATTAGGAACATTGCAGGTTCAAAACATTCATCTCAACTCACCGAGTTGGATGTTTCTTTTAACTGTCTCTCGTCGGAATGCCTACCAGATCTGCTCTGTATTTTGGAGGCGTCCAAGAATACCTTACAAAGCTTAAACGTTTCAGGAAACGAGGTTGAAACAGTGCCAGATCTAAGCAAACAATTTGTTGATCTACTCTCAGTGTAGACTATCTGTCAATAAATGGATTTTAGATTGTTCACTAATTTACAATTATTCACCGAACTGGAGGTGAATAGTAGTGGATATTTACGAAACGGCGAAGTCAACAAATATATTTATCATACACAAGAACCAAAAATTAGCTCATTTCTGTCAATATTCTGAGAAACGTTCGGAACTTTAACTGTTGACATGCGGTTTTGCCTCAAAGCTACTCAGAGTTGAAAGTAAGTTGCTGATCACATCTGAGCTAGCCAATCAGCGCGCACGAAAAGCACTATTCGCCTGTATGGTGTACTCTAGATCCATATACACGACGTAGAATCACTCCTAATTACCTTGTTAAGCAACCATTGAACACAGCTAATGTTGTGACGTTTCGTTTCGCACAATTTTTTTTTACCCTGAAGGCACCTGCGAGGGTTTGGAGTAGCCCTAAAAAGCATTTGTCTCATGCAAGCGTGGGAGTCACCCTCGTATTCCACGCTTGCGACATGTTATTACCTTCTTTCCAAGCTAAAAATTTACCACCCTTCTTCATCCAAGACATTATGTTATACGAATAATATTGAAAGGAAAAATGTTATGTCTCGATACTCGTACGTTTCACTTTTTGTTTCAGTTTACTGATTGGTTTTTACTAACTGCAGCTCTTCGTTAAAAGTTACTAAAAAGAAAAATTTGTCGCCCTGTGTGCGTGCTCTCTTACTATATTATGCAATTTAATTGATAACGTTTGTTTCTTTGTTTCACTAATACTGTTATTTGAAGTTCCTAATGCTAGTTCAAAGTAGAGGTCCGTGACCATTCGTGTTGGAGCGGGGCCATCAAGTACATTTGATGGCTAAAATTTACCGTAGACGTACGGTTCGTAATTGGCTTTTTTCTCTTCGCGTTAACGGTTAGGTTGATACAAACAATCTAAGTGAAACGAGAGGCAAGCGAGCGGCATGCAAAAGGGTCTAGCATTGATAATAATTTTTATTAAAAACTGAATCATTTGATGATGTAATTCAAGAGTTTTCATTGGCTAAATCACCATGGGTTTAGCCAATTGCATCACACAATGCGCACGTATGAAGATGAGTTTAACTGAACCTGATTTTTTTTTTTACATTGTAACATTCCGTTTGCTCTTACAAAAAAAAAATTGGGAAGATTTATCTGGGGTGTTTTTAATAAAACAAATATTCCACTCGCTCTTGCTGAATATGCGATGATTAGCCGACTCGGCACTACGGGGGGTCCCTTGGCCATCTATCTCCTCATCTCTCATCATCTCTTGGGAAAGGTGAAGTTATGTTTTGATCACTAACAGGTATCGACCGCTTTAGAAGCGAAACCTTTCATGTACGCTAAGATGGAGAAGGGTTTATTTTCCATCTCGCTCTCCTGTTCACTTTGATTGACGTACATGTTTCAGATATTTGTGTTCTTCACTTACATGTGTTAACTTTGTGTTCTGCTGTGTAAACTTTATGCTTTTGTTTACCAGCTATTGCACCAGAACCTTTGAAAGAATGTAATTAAAATGGATTGAAAACGAACATCACCTGACAGAGTCAGTGACATACTGAGCAAAAACAAAACGCGTTCTTTATTTAATCACCGAGAAGACCCGCGAGGACGGAGTGGCGGACTTGGTGGTCTTAATTTTCAATTGACAGGTTCTGAAGGTGTAGCCAGAGGAAGTGAGTAATTAAAGGCCATGAAATTGCTGTCCTTGCAGCAAACGTCCCCGAAAACTTCTGATAAACAAAACTAACAATGCTGCTTACCACGAAACTCCCATTACCCATATTTTCAGAAATAATTCTGAATGAAGAAAAAGCTGTAAATTATTTGCGGCGTTTTAAAAAAGAGTTTGAAGAGCTAATTTCTGTTCTTTTCAGATATCAATTGCACTAGGCTTTTGTTCTTTTCTCTTTAAAAATTTTCAATGGAAATGTTCTGAAGGTGTAGCCAGAGGGAGCGAGTAATTAAAGGCAATAAAGTTGCTGTCCTTGCAGCAACCGTCCTGTAAAACTGCTGATAAACCAAACTAGCAAACTCCATTACCTATATTTTCAGAAATAATTCTGAATAAAGTAAACACTATAAATAATTTGTGGTGTTTGAAAAGAAAAAAGTTTGAAGAGCTAATTGCTTGGGGTTAGGTATCAATTGCTCTCAGGCTTTTGTTCTTTTCCTTTTCACATTGATGTCCCCGAGGGAAAACTCAGGTGGAAACTGAACTGAATACAATGCGTGGCCACTTTTGGAGTTGTTTACGCACTGAAGTCACGGTGACCTGGCATGTCGTCAGTGAAGTGCTCGATCGCTAAGACAACGAGACACTGGCCCGTGTAAAAACACTCTCGCTTGTTCCACAAAGTGGTCCGAATAAAACCCTCCTCAGGATAACTGATGTCTAAAATCTATACTAATTTCAAAGCTTAAATCTTCGGAAAACTGTACCTTACTTGCGAACTATCACCGGCTTTGTCGTTGCAGTCGTGCCGGATGCAAGAATTGGTAAAATTTACTCAAAAATTGAGCTGTAATGATAAATTTTGTTAAATTGCTTTTCTCTTTTTACATTGTAAGCTGGAAAGACACATACGTTGATACACTATGTGGTACCCTTGAAAACTTAACCGACCCAAAACCATATTGGTCTAGATTTATAACCCGCTTTTAGAATAAAAGGCCGAGTTAAAAGCCCTCCCTTTTTGAGGAAGGCAATTGCCAGTTTAACTTATATATGGGAAATCCCTTGTCCTTGTAGCAATCCATCTAACCACCTCAGTAATCTGCTTGAGGCCTTGTACCCCGTAGTTTTACTTCGTTTATTTCATTTACCTATTCAATTTACTCAGACGTAGAGAGTGTTGCCTCAGGGTAGCCTAGCTTGCATCTGGAACAGATAATTCTTAAGTCTAAATAAACATATAGCTGATCGACAGCTAATTGAGCAAAGAAAAAATTAACTCAGCTCCCACTGATGAGGTTTTGACTTAGACCCTGAATTTCTGCTACAAGTTTTACGCATTTTGTGGAAGAACGTGGCAACCTCTATTCGTTGTGTTTTTCTGTTTGTTCTAAGCGGGATGGTCTGTACACTTGATTTTAGGTACTTTAAGTTGTCACTTCAAAGCGCAGAGAGACGTACCGCCGCTGTAATCACGTCATCATGTTCACCCCACCACTTCGTGCACCAATATTGCTCTTCATGGAAATTTCTTGAAGGGAGCATTTCAGATTGACCTAACCTGACAAACCACGCGGGAAGAAGTAAAGCTAGAGACTCCTTTTCAAACGGGCATTCAGCTTTTAAAAACGTTACCGCTGAAAATTTACCGGTCTCCTTTGTCAATCCTTTGCTCAATACGAAGGGAAAACAATAATTTTCAAACGAGAACAAAAGGAATTTGCTGCCATGCGTTACGCTACTAGGAAACGTAGAAATTAAACATTGGTGAAAATAATTTCATAGGAGACAGGCCCAGAGGAAAAATCACGCTTATTGCCGCCTTGGTTTCCTTGCACCTGACATTAAGAGTTACGAACTCTCTCACACTAATAGTGCTTATGTAAACCACTTTGTTTTTTTACTATTAATTTTTATGATTTAAATTGGTTTTCCCAAGTAAATTTTTTTAGAAATCAATTTTTGGCCTCGTTCTCTTGGCACTTTCATGTTGCTCTATTCTTTCTCGTATTGTATTTTCTCTGATTATTTTAATATTTGTTTGACTGTTTACGTCGGTTTTAAATTATGATAATTTATTGCTTCTCATGTGCAAGCCATGAAAGGCCAGAAAGGACGCGAGAGAGTTTTATTCATTCAAGAATTTTGTGTATGCAAAATAGCCGTCACGCTACAATCAAATGTTCAACTTTGACAACAACATCTCAACTCCAGCAGAATGACTTAGACAGTTCTCATCTGCCTTTCGTTTTCCTTCCATACATTCATCGAGTTTTGTTGTGAGGGGCACCTTGAACGGAAGCTGACATTGATATGATCGTGTCGCCGTTAATTCTTTGCTTTGGAGCCTTGTTCAACCTCTACGTCGCGTTGTATTGCTTTCAGCGCTCAAGATGGCGGTCCTCAAATAACTTGAAATATTTCGTCGTGTTCCAGACGATTGTCAACACGGGCAATTTGTTCGCTCATCTTGTTTTGCTGCTTCGTGACGAGCTTAATGATGTGGACGAGATCGCAAGAGTGGAAAATCACACAATTTGTGACATCTTGCCCAACATCACAGCGTGCTTTATGTCGCTTTCCGTGTTTAACCTCACCGCGTTTGTTGTTGTGCGTTATTTAACAAACGAGCGCCGATGGACACTGTCTGCTTTAAAAATCGTACTCACACTGCTCGCAATCGTTGTGTCATCTGGGCTGCTTTTGGCTCCCGCTTTGAGTTATTTATATCATCAAATGCCAGTTCTCAAGTGTAATGGCTGTTATTGTCCGTCACCGGGGATGATTTGGGAGGCCAATTTCGATGTATGGCTCTACGGTTATATGGTAATCTTACTACAGTTTGTCATCCCAGCGATAATTCTTTTTACAGCGGTGCTCAGAGGCCTTGCAAGACAGTTGGAAGAAACGCGTGCATTGAAAGAGAGTTGGTACAGATCGCGTTGCGGACTTAAAAGTACAAACATCGTTACTTTAGCAGTGTGTCTCTTCATAACATTTATTCTGCCAGTAAGAGGAATTCGCTTTGTCTCCGGAGAACACTTCTTCCCGGATAGCACGCCGCAATTCGTTGAGATGGAACTTCTAAATTCTGTTTTTTATATCCTCGAAATCTCTTGGGCTGCAATTACTGCTATATTGCCAGTTTGCTTGAAGAATTTGACTGACGATGAAATTTCAGGTAAACAGAAAAAAGAAAACAATGGTACAAGTCGAACAACATGCCCTCAAAGCAAAACCTACTGCGAGGCTTTGGTGGAATTAGAATTGTGGGAGTAAAGACAAGATCGAAGGAACATAAATATTCAAGGTTTTCCGACGTTAATTTTCAACTGGACCGCACTAAAACACATTTTCCGAAAGTTATTAGGAAATAAAGCGCAGCGTCATGTTACTGATGCAACCGCCCACCCGTTGCAAGGTAACCTCGTAGTGAAGATTGAGTGGAAGTTTTGGATAAGTTACAAAAGAGAAAGGATGGAGGTAATTCGGAATAATTCAATTTGGTCGTGGTACGAATAGAACACACTAGAAACTACTTTTTGCGAAATCAGGATTTTACAGACAAATCGGTGGCTAATGTTTTTAAGTCAAACTGAACCCACGCGTAGTGACTTTAACTGAAAGTGAATATTCTAGCGTAACAAGTTACAAGTTATTTTTTATTTTGAAATATTTCCCACATCTATGCGTTATCTTCAGATAATTTTACATCTTTAAACTTCAAAAGGTGGAATGGTGCTATATCGACTTAAATTTGCAAATTTTTTGAACCCATGTAAAGCTTGTATGGAACTGATCGCTGATGTTTGTTTTCTTGCCCACTCACGTTCTTTCATTTGTGAAGCTGAGGTTCAAATTCGATGAATTGGTGGCTTTTACCGCCTACGGCAGAAATGCTAGGCCAATTTACGGCTAACGGTTAATATCTTTCCATTGTGGTCACCAGAAAAATTTTTGCGGTTAATGTTTTTTTGTTCTCTTTTTTACGACTAACTTTTAAAATTTGTCAATTTTTACGCGAACAGCTAAATTTTTTGGCCGTTGTACGGGTAACAGTTAACCCAATTGAGACCCTCTAAAATATCTAGCAAAACATACCAGATGGCTTTCGTCAATTTGGACCGAAATTCTTGATGTCGCCTGGGGGTCTTTATTCTTTTGTGACTACGACAAAGAAAAGCGACAAATTTGAGTTTGCTATAGTGTAGATATCAGCGTTGCGCAGAGAAAAATTTCCCGACAAAGAGGATTCGAACCTCAAACCTTTGTACTTTGCAGTTATGAGAGTTCGACGTTAGGTTTGAACCTCCTTGTGGAGTCGAGCGTGAGCAATCAAGTTACCAATAAATAAAAACAAATAACATTATTTCTTCTTTCTAGCTTGCAGAACAGCAGGGCTCGAATTTAAGTTTTGGATCACTAACCCTTCGGTTAGTGGACATCTTTTTTACTAACCAAATTATCAAGTTTGGTATCCAAGCTCACAAGTTACGACATCTCAGATATTAAACATTTTGACAATAACGACTAGGACAAATTAAAGAGTAGCTGAAATAGCAGGTGACCTTAAAACGTTGACAATTATGCACCTATTTTATTTCCTCTATTCGCTAACGCTCGAAACGTCAGCTTTTGTAATCGTTACGGTGGCCAATTTACCATTTCAACTTTGTTGATATACTCAAATTATTTTATTTCCCTCTCGTTTACCATGGTTAGTCAAGAACAGTACATCTACAGCACATTCTCTAAAAAGAGTTGAAGTTGATTAATCAACTTGAGTATTCTAAGTATTCCTCTGAGAGGCGGATCTACGTGCTCTTTGTCCTGAGGTCCACCAATGTTTAAATATGTTAGAAAATTTTACTAACCATTTCGGGTTAGTTGGACACATTTTTGGTAACCAAAGGTTGAAAATTACTAACCATTGGTTAACGGGTTACCGTTAATTTCCAGCCCTGAACAGGCGTCATTTTTTGATATTTCAGGCGAGCGTAGGCGAACTAGCCTGTGTACAGCTGCCACCTGCCCTCCAATTGAAAATCGGAGATTAGAGGGTGGCTGTACACATGCTCAGGCTAACTTGAGCGAAACACTTGCCCCTCGCGCGCCTAAATAACGCTGAAAACAACAACAAAACAAAAATCTGGTGCCTGTTTTGCGTTCTCTTTCTATTTCATTCTTACGGCAGTTAGGATCCACCCAGGGGTTATAAAACACCTGATATTCCTAACTCTTAGAGCCCAAAACTATCTTTTCTACAACTTCTCCAACTGCAGCTCACCATTCTATACTTGGATTTTATCCTAATAAGCTGTTGCTATTACATATTATAAGAGTGTGCTTGCAATTTATTTACATCTTGCCAGGTGCCCTGCAATCCATTGACTAATGGGTTATACAATTGATTTTGCGATGGCTGATATTTCCTCGAAATTCCTTTCTTTGTAGTTTCGATCATTTCCAGTTTACCTCTAAATATTATTCGACGCCGTATTCATGATAAGAGCAAAATTTCTTAATTCTAAAATCTCGTTCAATTATCATTGAACGAGAATTTAGGAGGGGATTGTGCGTGTGAACATTTATTGCATTGGTCGTTCGGTTAGAATTTAAGATTAGTTTGTTCATACTTGTACCGCCGATGATCTGCTTAGCAGGCATTTTAATTTCCTTTTTCTCCAAAGAATTTATCTTTATTTGTGTAATATTATTACTTTTTCCCGTATTCGTACATACTTGAATTAATCATGTGAACATAAGAAAATTGTATGAAATATAGGATCATTTTACTGTGATGGCTCCAATATTAAAATCCTGCTCTATTTCCATATGACAAATGTGATGACTGAAGAATGCATGATGGCTTGTCGCTGATTCAGCTCTGAATCGGACTAAATCAGCGATTCCCTAATGTCATTTGTTATACCACAAACTGTCGGTAGAATAAATATCTAGTTTCAATCGGATCAGCAAGGAACAGAGATCTGCTTTAAAAGATTGTGAAAGGCAACGGAAAATGAGCTCGTCGGTAAATCTTTGTAAGATTTGAAAGTATCGTCAGATTGAGAAATATTGGTAAATTGCTGTGCAGTGTTTATCTTATATTTTGGTGAGAAGCCTTTTGTGATTGAACCTTGTGTCGATAATAAAGATTTGAGGCCTAACACTCGGTGAAAGATCGAAAGTGCGGCTTTACATGCTACTTTCACCGAGGTACATTAACTCTTTGACCATCAAGAGTGACCAGCATCTAATTTCTCCTTACAATATCACCCCTGAATCACACATTAAGGTCAGGAGAATAAAGGAAATGATCAACAACTAAAGAAACTTTTGATTGCTTAATAATTTCCCTTTGTCAGCACCTTAGGAAATGTATCGAGGACAGTGTGAAGAATACTTATTCTGAAGGTGTGAAGGGTTTATCCTAGTTGCCTAGCGGTAGAAATAAAAACGATTTAGTTAGTTTAAGGCAAACTTTGTCACCAATCCAGTGGCAAAAGTTTACTGAAATGGTATCTGTCCTTCCAAAATTGTAACTCGTGTGATCAATGCTTAGCCTGCTGATAGATAGACAGCATTGGTGAAAGATTGCCGACGCATCATTTAGCCTCCAGTGAAGGTGATAAACATTCGGGTATAGAACCTGTTGTAGCGGTATGGCTTTTTACATGCTTGTGTGGTTGAGATGTGCAAGTTCTACTATGGTTTGCTCTGCGGCAGACGTTTTGTGCACAACATTTGCAGTCCCTGGCATCGTTAGACCAGGCAGTGCCCTGATTTGTCGTCTCTTCTTGCACTGCATAATATTGCGCAGATGTTGCCGAAAGCTCTTCAGGCGGAAACTGTACACCACAGGATTAACACACGAGTTCAGAACAACCAAAACGTGTCCTGCCACATTGAACCATGGTACAGGCAGGCCCCAGTTCTCTGTGACGAAACTTATCTGGGACGGAATCCAACAGAATGCGTAGATGGCGCCAACCATCAGCAGCGTCACGGTCACTTGTTTGCGATGACGAAGGAAAGCCGTCTGAGAAGGAAAAGGAAATGACAAAGGAAAACCGTCTGAAAAGGAAAAGGAAATGACAAAGGAAAGCCGTCTGAGAAGGAAAAGGAAATGACAAAGGAAAGCCGTCTGAAAAGGAAAAGGAAATGACAAAGGAAAACCGTCTGAAAAGGAAAAGGAAATGACAAAGGAAAGCCATCTGAGAAGGAAAAGGAAATGACAAAGGAAAACCGTCTGAAAAGGAAAAGGAAATGACAAAGGAAAGCCATCTGAGAAGGAAAAGGAAATTACAAAGGAAAGCCGCCTGAGAAGGAAAAGGAAATGACAAAGGAAAGCCGTCTGAGAAGTTTCCAAATGCGCACTCTTAACTGGCTTGAACCATAGGTGGTGCACTACTTTGGAGTACAGGCATACCATGATACATGGAGGAATCGCTCCTGCGAGAAGCATCCAAATGAGGCTGTACGCTTTAATAAATTTTTCTTCCGTGGTGCTTTTGTTACCATACCTTTTGCACAAGCCTGAGTCGAAATAATAATACCGGATCTCCCAGAATTCAGCCGTGTTGATCACAATGGAGACAAACCATGGAATGCCAATGACTAATTTCAGACGCCCTCTGGTAAATCTTCCTCGATGACGAAGTTGATGGATAATGGCGAAGTAACGTTCAACGGCGATGTAAACCAAAAACAAAATGGAGGCAGCAGCACCAAACCAAGCTAAGTCTCCGTGTGTAACCCAAGCACACGACCAGCGTCCTGCGTTTCCTTCTGGGTGGGTTAGGTATGGAAAAAGTCCTTTCTTTAAACCAGTGCTCAAAGCGAACATCATATCGGCTACGGCCAGGTTGACCAGTAAGTAGTTGAGCGTGGTTTGCATAGCTTTGTTTAGAAGAACAGTTAGAATGACCAGCGTGTTGCCGACCAGGGATATGAGTACAAGGATTAAACAGACAGTCTTTAGAACGATGTTAGAAACTCCTAAAGAAACGGCCATCTTAAACTGAGTAATGACACTACAATTTGCATTGATTAATCGTACGCATACTGCGTTCTATTTATTTAGTCTCAATTGTTTTCGCATCTCCGCGCTCAAAAAAAAATGTTTGAAAATTTGGTAACACGAGGAACAGTTGGAGACGAGCCACCTTTAAAGTGATTTCAGTTAAGGTGATTTTAAAAATCAACGTTCTTAAATTAGTTAAACATAGACTGTAAGTGTAGGTTTTATTGAAGGATTTTACTTTGAAATGTTAAGTGCCTCATAAATTTAGTTTTTGTGTGGCACGCATTGCAGGTTGCATAGAAATCAAATCCTCAGAGAGGTGAGTATCTTACAATTCATGCACAACATTTGAACAATCAACTCAGACCTACAAGCTCGCGGCATTTATTCTTATATTCATAGAGTAATTGTGACTACAAGGTAATGAAGTTTACCTCCAATATCTTCACCGTTACAACCTAGCAATATCAATAATGTTGTAGAGCAAACAGCTGAATGACTTTCACGCCCATTATGGGAATCACTTTCTCTTAAATATGATCATTGCAGTGGGTCGATACAAAGATGTGTTCCTGATGTTACTTTGCGGTAAGGTAAGCAGATATCTGCATGTAGTAATTTTAATAACCAGGCTGTTTATTACGTTTCCTAGCTCATTTCTGTTAATCTGAGATATTATCTCCTTGCTACTTATCTGCAAAAAATGCTGTTGGGCAATGCAAACAACCTACATACCCAAACTCTGTCAAAAGATGCAGATTTCAGGAAGGAAAAACAAAGAGAGACGTCAGAA